CAAAACAATAGATCACTATATAGAAACTCAAAATATCCTCCTTAGGATCTAAAGAAACAAAAGCTTACAAGAATAAAGCCTTTGGGATCAAAATTCAAAAATTTTTTCTTCCAAAAATTTAAGAAAATCAAGAAGGAAGAAAGAGGATTGAAGTAGGGAGTTTACCTATTATGTAGCCGAGCTCGCAACGGTTGTAAAGCCTCCTAAATCCAAGCCTAACTCCCTCTCTTTCTCCTCTCTTCTTCCTCTCACTCTCTCGTGCTCTTTGTTTGTGCGTTTCTTTCCTTTTTAATTTCTGTTTCTGCGTTTCTTTTTCCTCTTAAATTACTGATATAAGACTTTAGGGAAAATTAAAATAAAGGGCCCAACATTTTTTATTATAGCACAAAAGCCCGGGTCAATTTTGGTAATTTTTCCATAGTTAAAAATAAAATAAAACCTAACTTTTGTTTAGTAAAATTCAAACTTTGGACCTCTATCAAATCATTCTAAATTTTAATTTAACTATAGATATTTTATTTTATTTTTTGTAAAATAAATTCGAGTCTTAAAATTTTGGGATGTTACACATTATGCATCCACCGTGGCGCATGGCCATTTTCTACAGATATCTGTTGTGAAAAAATAAGACAAAAAAAGAAAGAAGAAAAAATAGAGAACAAAGAGATATGCCAATGCTCTACTAGGGCACGACTTATATGAGAATTTGAGAAGGTTTGAAGCTCTAAATCATCTAAGGTAAGATTTTTAAGCCCTTTTCCTCCTTTCCTCTTCCATTTTCTCTAGGATTTGAGTTAGGGTTTAGATAAGGATGGTGATTTTAGTCCATATAGGGTATGGGTCTGAATTTGTTGACTTAAATGGAGTTAATGGGAGTAGATTAGAGTATCTAAACCTAGGTATAATGAGTTTTGGTGTCTTGGGTTGTTGGGTACCATTAATATCTGAAAATCTCATTTATTATAGGTGGTTGGAAGATTATGATACCATTAATGGGGATTTAATGGCTCATTAATGTTATTAGGAATTAAAGGTAACTATTAAACCCAATGGATAGGCTCCAACTCATGTAGGGTAATTTAGAAGTGGAGATTGAGGATTTAAATGCTTGAATTGGTAATGTTGATGAAATTCAATTTGGTTGATTGTAGTTTTGGCTCTTGATCACCTATTGGATTGGAAATTCAAGCTTAAAAGCTAGTAGATTGAGGAGTAAACCTTTGACCTCTCAAAGGTTTGAGGTAACCAGGGGAACCTTACTTTGGATAGTTATATGTTAATTGATTATTAATTGATTGTTAAATATGAATTGTGAATGTTACATGCATGGGATTGATTTTTAATGTAAAACCATATATTAGTTTCAATGTGAGAATAAAATTTATATATGCGTAATGCTATTTTTAGTTTGAAATGCAAAATGTGAAGTCAAGAGGGTTTTTGAACTATGAACATGTTGATGCTTTTTGAAAATGAATGTGATGTTGTGTAGAAGTAATTATGTGTTCATAAGAAGTAAATTTTAAGAATAATGTTGAAAAGATGATGAGAATACACACTTCGGTAGCACCTGGTCATGAGCCCAACGTGATTATTATGATGATAAGTAAATGAAAATGAAAATGTTAAAGTGAGTGAGTATTGATTATGGCATGATCGGTTGTGGGAGTTCGCCTGGGGATTGGGAGTAGAGAAAATATAAATGGTATTTAGGCTGCACTCCAGTGCACAGAGGTATAACCTTATCCCACAGTTTGTCAAGGGACTGTCCCATAGTTTGTCAAGGGACTAGAACCTAGCTATCTCCACCGGTTCAATGAGGAGAATAGCCTAGGGTTTGAGACACTCCAAGGCTTTGAGAATGGGGGAAATCGGGGTTTAAGAGTGAGTTATATGATCTTTGGCCAGGTCACACCTCAGGATTGGTGAGCTTGTGTTGTCCAGTCATACAAACAAAGCCCTATTCAAAGTTATAGCCCACGGTTTCAGTCTGAGAAAATAAGGAGGATATAAGGTTGGTCGACCATTGCCTAAGTAAACATATGACGTGTCACACATGTTAAGTTGTGGCAAGTCACGTGAATAATGGGTCAAGGTCACATATCTGAGAATATGGTGACAATGCACCTAGTATATGTGAGTTAAGAAGTTATTAAATGATAAATGACAAGTTGTGATATGTATAAGCATGTTTTACTTAGCTGGTTTGTTATGCATGTGCTTGTCTTATAATTAATATATAACTGCATAGGGTAGACTTTACCTTAGTTATTGATTGGCTAGACTCACCCCTTTCATTTAACATTTTTCAGGCTCTAGCTCTAGTGCAGAGAGGGAGAAGACTCAAGAGGCTCGAAATTAGCATATTCCTTTTTGTATGCCTCTAGCTTAGTTTATTTTGTGTAATAGTATATGTTTTCCAATTTTGAATTGCATGTCATCACACTTGCACTATTTTATTATTGCAAATGTCTGATTTGTACTTTGGGCCCTGAGTATTTGTGTATGTTGAGATATATATATATATATATATGTTTATAGGGCCAAAATACTAATGCAAGTATAGAAATAAAGATTTGAACATGTTTTGAATGATTTGAGCTAAATGCAATGACAATTTACCTCTCCTTCTGTTTTTGGTGAAATGGGGTTGAGGAGTGAATTTCTATTATATTGTGTTTTCAAGGTGTGTGATGTGTTATACTGGTAGTCCTGAGTCCTATGTACATGGTCCAGGTGTTAAGAAAGGCTTATGGCACATGTTGAGGGTTTTGGACACCCATTTTGTGTGAAAGTTGTGAAAAATGGTTGAAATGTGTTTGGGTGTCCAACTTCCTAGTGTGACTTTTTTTGAAAGTGAAACCCATGCCATTAGCTAGTTCATGTAAAGAGCTTTCCGTAGATACCTAGATCACATCATTCAAACATCGGACAAAGAATCGGGGCAAGTTGGAAGTTCCTCGATTCTACTGTCAAATGATAGCTGAATCAGTTAAAATTTCATGCAACATGCCGCAGCGCGTGGTACAAAGAGCAACATGCTGTGGCGCAGCGTGCACAAGCTGAGGCGCATTGTCCTGTTTCACAGCACATGTTTTGTTTTTCAACCATTTTTGACTTCTTTCACTCCTCTAAGGTATCCTATACTTCCGTAACTTTTTTTACTCTGATATGAAAGATTTTGATTGATTTAAACTCATTTTTATTTAAAAAACTTGGGATCCCTTACTTTTGAATTGAACCTTGGTAATCATCTTGTTGAGTTAAGTCTCTGATTATTAGGTATTATATTGGTTAATTATGTTTAGTAGAGTGAGAATATTACAACATATTTCAACTCTTGCTCCTAATTTTGCTTACCCTAACAGATGTTAGCACCTTCTCCACGTCTGACCCATCTAACTTTGTTTCTCCTGTTTCACGATCTGTTCTATGAAGTTACTTATCAAAGTTCTACACCATGCGCGTGGCACAGTGAGGGAAATCCTTACTATGCTCACACACTCTACTTCAGGACTCCACTCTCCTGCTCATATCTATTTATATAACACCCCAAAGAAGCAATACAACACTTCACTATCCATAACCCTAATCGCATATTAAATTGCTAATTCATTCCATAATCAGTTATTAACATAGGATTAAAAATTTAGGATGTTATGGACCCCATCTAAAAGGTAAAGACCCTATTCAACAAGTCTAACCCTTCGAGAACACAAAAGTTCTTCAAGAATCAAACATGCTAAATAAGTAACAACCTAAGTGAAGTCTTCATAGTGACCTCCGAGGGCCTAGATGTAACACTTGCCTCAAGGGTTACCAAAAGTACACTACAACTAAATAAACTAAGTGTGGTTAATGAGTTAATCCTAAAACTAACTTAGGAAACAAACCATTTAAATTATCAAATAATCTACACAATAGCAAAGCACACATTTTAAAAACTCTTAAAAAGTTTGAGGAATTACTATATGGCACACAGAAGTAAATTGGGCAAATAGGGGCAATTAGTCGCTATCATGACAGCATTAATTTTGCAATCATGATAGCCCTCCTGGGCAAATTTTTGAGAGGTGCTGTTTCACCGCCTAGCCTCTGATCAAAGTAATTTTAAATCCCACACGTCCTAGTATTTCAAATTTCAAAAAGATCCAACGGTTGGATTAAAATATGAATACATTACAAATTTGGCATTTTTGCTATCATGACAACAGCTTCAGATCAATGTTTGGAATGAACCATTTCATCATCTGACTTCTAATTGAAGCGATTCCAAGACTCACACGTCAAACTCAAAGAGTACTACTAGTATATCAAATTTTGAAAAAATTCAACGGATGGATTGAATTTCTTGTATGTCACAACTTCGGTAACTGTTGTTGTCATGACAGCATTAAATAGCTGTCATAACAACACCTTCGAACCAACTTTCGGAGTGCACCGTTTCTTCGTTCGATATCCAATTGAGGTGATTCCAAAGTTCACATGAAGATTATAAAATTTTTACTTGTGATCCAAATTTTTGAAAAATCTAACAATCGGATGCAAAGTGCAGCTTTTTGGTAAAACATTTTTTAAAATTGTCCAAATCTCATCCTAAGGACCACAAACTTATGAGAACAATTTGGACACATCAAATGAGACTAGGAATATCTAATAGAACATTCAAATGATATAAAAACCCCTTATATCAAAATTTAACCATCCAAGTATTATTTTCCAAAATGGACCTTAATCTCTTAAAATTTACAAATCACACATGAGTAGCCAAAAACTAATCCAAACACCATATACTCATAAATATATATGTTAAATATTTTCACTTGGCTTAGAAATCCTAGTGGGGCCCATGCACTAACTCTCTCTATCTAAGGTGTATGTTTGCCTATAACACACAATTCGTAATGCAATTGCTTTGCATTTACTTGTAAAATCACATATATTTATATATATATATATATATATCAAAATAAAAATTTGCTCGTAGTGAAAACTTGGTCTACAAAATGAATCTATCAAAACCACACACCATAATCAAGTTTCCTAATCACAAGTCTATAAGCATACAAAAATTCATACATAGGCATACAATCCACACATATTCACACGCATATATATAATCACATCTTACTAGCACCCTAACCTAAATACATTACAATGCACTTGCTTAAAAGAAAGGCGTTGTAGTTTTTTACAATCTATAGATAACCCCTAGCTCTGCTCTTTTTCCTATCCACTACTGGATCCTTTGCCTGAACCTGAAAATATTAAAAAGAAAGGGGTGAGATAACCACAATTTCAATAACAAAGAAATATACATTTATCATTACAAAGTAAGCCATAGTTGAATAAATGAATAATAAATTAAACATAACATATAATTTAGTCATTTAAAATGTATGAATGCATGACATTAGCCGGTACGACCTTTCTTGACTGACAGAATGCCCCCTAGCACTCTTTATGTAACATCCTAAAACTTCAAATCTGGAAAAGTTGATTAATTAAGGGATAAATTAGTTAAAAATATGATTAATTTGTTTAATTATATTTTTAGGTTGCTAATTGAATTTTTGGGTCATATTTGGCTCTAAATTGAGTTAGGATGAAAGTCGGATCAAGTCGAGAGGCATCGGGGGGAGCAAAATTAACTTGTTGCTTGCTTTATCGTGAGCCGCGGCTTGCGTGGCGTGCGCTACGGCGCACGGCACAGCAGGAAACTTAAAATTTTGTAAATCATCAAAAATTAGCAGATTTTGGGATGGAAAACCTAGAGCACGAAGGGGGCAACTTTGGGCACTGCTAGGGCATCATTTTGGGAGGATTTTGAAGACAAATTGAGCCTTCAAACTCTTGAGTAAGTTTCCTACCCTTCTCTACCTTTTCATCTCATTTTCCATGAGATTTGGGAGAGTGAGAATTTAGTCTGATTGAATTAAGCCATGAGTCAATATTTTAAAGGTTTCTATTGACTCTAAAAGTTTAATTTAGGTTTATTGATCTTGGATATGTGGTAATAGGAAGCTACTTTCTTGTTTGGTGAATTTTAGATCAAGCCCTAACTTGATCATAAGGTGTTGAAGTGTGATAAGTTGAGATATTAAGTTTTATATTGTGATAGAGTTAGAAGGAGACTTAAAGGGATTGTATGAACAAATTCTAATCTTAACAAGCCTCTTTGTTGAGAACATGAGTGAGAAACGGGAGAATTGGGAGGTTATTATTAGCTAATAGTGCTTGTGTTAATTGAAAATTAACATATAGTACTTGTTGATGTAAATTGTGGTGTGGGAAGACTTACCTTGACACAAAAAGAAAATTAGTACCACAGGTAACTCTTTTAGTAACAAAAAGGTTGAGGTAACTAGATAATTTTCATTATTTATTACCTTGTAAAAGTTATTCTCAAGTTGCTTTTCTATGATTTGTTGAGTATATATGTATAAATTCCTTAAAGGTTAACTATTTTAGAAAATGAGTGGAGTATTGCTTTGTGAAATTCTATATTTTTAAAGTAAATGGTAAGATTTGTTATATTTGTTTGGAAAGTTGTTTATGCATGGTCAAGTGAAGATATGTAGTGAAATGTGGCATATTAGAGGGTGGGAGGTCACCCTAGTGGAGATAGTGAAGATTAAGTCCATATGGCATTGCTGACACCTCGGGACGCCAGGTACAGCATTTACTCTCCTTAGCGCCTGAAAATGGGTGCGGTGTTGGAGGCTTACTCTCCTTAGTACCTAAAAAGGTGCAGAGTTGAAGACTATACTCCTTAGCATTCGTAAGATGCGATGTTAAAATAACGACACTCCAATTACTTGTAACAGGGAGAACCAGTAGTCCAAAAGTAGTTTAAAACACCTTGGTCGGGTAGTCCTACCATGGATGGTGAGCTTGGGAGTTTGGTTCTATAAAATAGCCTACTAGTTTGGTCGGGAGTATTGGAGGACCGGATGGTTAGGGATCATGCATGCAATTTGTGTGATCTTATATGATGTGATTATGTCACTTATTTTAATGCTTATTTATAACTTGGCATGTTAATCAATAATGTAGATTATCTTAGTTACTAAGATTTTTATCTCACCCCGTGGTTATCATTTTACAGGTTCCACCAATGAAACTGAGCCAGGGAGGGAATCGGGCAAGGACTAGCATACTTGCAACATTCTTGTTGTAAAGCTCGATTTCATTTTAAGTCGTGTACATAAACTTATATGAATGATATTATATGTTGCTAACTAGGAATGCATATCATTTTGATTGGTTGCACTTGTTTCATACTATGTTGTTTTGTATTTTAGCCCAATATTATATATGATGTGAATATGTGGAAATTTTTGTGGTGATAGGCTAAAATACTAATACAAGTGCAAAGAATCTTTTATTTATGTGGTGACAATGTATTTGTAGGTATTATGTGGCAATAGAGGCCAAATAGTGCTTGTAGTGTTAATTGTGTATTTTGGCCATATTGGGCAAAATGGCCATTGAGTGGCCAAATTTTGTGTTTGGTATGTTTTTGTGTGTTTGATTGGTCACTCAAGTATATTTTGGTCCATTGGACTTGGTTTAAGCTTTACAATAGGTTAATGGTATAAGTTATGAGTTTTGGGTACTTGGATGCTTGAAAATCTCTTTAAAAACTGACTTTTGCATCCGAGTGTCTAAAATTTTCATATGATGTCGGATTGTAACGAAACTTATACCATTAGTTAGCTTATTGAATAAGCTTCGCGTGGGCGCTTGAATCACTCCAATGGAACATTAGGTGCAAAAATGGCAAGCATTCGAAGTTCATCCAGAAAAGCTGTCATGACAGCATTGCTTTCTGTGCCACATGCCGTGGCGCATGGACCACGAGCCGCGGCACATGGACCAAAACACTCAAAAATGACATTTTTGGCCCTGTTTTGAAGTGTTTTGTTTTCTAAAATTTTTCTATGCTTCCAATACCTTTATAAATCATTAAGTTTGAGCTCAAACTACCCATTTGAAGGGTTTTTATGGGATCCCAAATTTTCCAAAATTATTTCTAAAGGATTACTAGTTTTAACCCTTATATATATAATGTGAGCTTGGGAGCAATCCTTGCTCCTAATTATGATTATTTGTTATGATTGTGTAGTGAATTTTAGTAATGTCAAGGTGGACATTACACTTTAACTTGTGGGTAAACCTTATACCCACTTATACCCCCACAGGCACAAAACATAATCTAAGGCATGATTGAATCTACCAAGCTGCCTGTGCTCCTTCGACGTGAATCTTGAGGAGTCGAAGCTAACTCCCTCCCAGAACCAGCCCGACTTACTCTTCTTGTGAGGGCTGCCTTGGCCTAGGCACTTAACCTTACACTTCATATGTCAGATTCCTTCCCCCACTGAAAGGTGTCGAACACTTAATTCACTAATCACTTTAATGCATTAAGCCCACAATACGAAAGGCAACATTGAGTATTGATAGTGTGCCATAAAATATCACAAGTTCACACCTCCCTAATGATAAACTCCCACCGAGATCATACATTTTACTCTTGTCTACCTTTCCCGAATATTAACCACTTCAATACTCTTAAGTAGTATAACATATATCACTTCTCGCTTAAGCAGTTCCTTAGCCCAACTTTCATAGACAACCTTGTTTCCATAAAAATATTATTGTTAAATAAATAGAAAACATATATGCACTATTATCCAATTAGCACCCCATAAGTCCTTATAAAACACAATTAATTGCATTTAATTATTCAAAACATATAATGTATGATAGCTAGTAATATTTATTCAAAAATAGCTAAACAAAATAATAAGAAATATAAATTTTCTTGTTACCAACAAAAGAGTTTCCCCTTGTATCAAAAATATGACTTACCTTGTTCCTTGTCCTTCAATTAAATTATAGTGACAATTCCTTACAATATATAAGTGATCACATCACTTATCATGAAAAATATCATAAAAGAAGACTATAACCCATATCATACAACTTGGGTCAATGAGCCATAATTCATCCCAATTGTTCAAATATTAAACCAACTATTTTCATAACACCACTTAACCACTAAAACCATGTATTAGTCATCATTAAGCCAATTTCCAACTATACAATTTTAAATCAACTAAAAACCTTCACTTGGCATTATCAACTTTACAATTAGCCCTTATAATGAAAAAGAAAGATTAATTTAAATCTCATTAGATTCAAATAACACAATTATAACTAAATCAATAGGCTTAAACCATTAAAGAGCAAAACTCAATCCCTTAGGATCAAAATTTAAAATTTACCTCTTTCAAAAATCAAGAAAACCAAGAGCGAAGGAAGAGGATTGAAATAAGTAGTTACTATCACATAACAGAGCTCACAACGGTTACAAAGCCTCTCGAATCCAAGCTCTAGCTCCCTCTTTTCTCTTCGTTTCCTCTCTCTCTCTCTCTCTCTCATGCTCATTGTTCGTATCTTATTTTCTTTGTTTCACGCTTCTGCGTGCTTCTCATTTTTTTAAAAAAAATTGTACTAATAAATTAGGAAAAATTATAAAAAAGGGCCTAAATCTTTCTGTTATAAACAAAAACCTGGGAAACTTTGGAAATATTCTCGTAGTTAAAAAAAATAAAATCAAACTTTTGCTTAGAAAATTCAAACTATGGACCTCTATCAAATTATTCTTAATTTTAATTTAATTATGTATATTTTATTTTATATTTTTTAATTAAATCTAGGTCTTAAAAATTTCAGGATGTTACACTAGCAACCCCTCAGAAAATCGATAGAAACTTTAACTAGTCTAAAGTAGATTTTGACCCAAGTATAGGGCTAAACTATTTATGAGTGGATTTTTTTAGGGTTAAATCAAAGGAAAATTGAATGAGTAAATGAAGGAAAGGAAAAATAGAATAATAATTAAATAAAGGAAAGAAGGAAACAAAATATGGAAAACAAAATAATACAAAAAAGAAGAAAATATGGTAGAATGGCTTAAAGTGAAGGAAAGTGGAAGCAAACAAGAATAATAGAAAAAAGGAATAAGAAAAAGAGACAAATAGCAATGGACCTAGAATTTAGGATCGAAGAACCTCACCAAGTAACTTAAGAAGCCTTAAGTTATAAATTTATCTCCCAAAGCCTTTCCATATGATGATTCTTGGTACTAAGAAGAAGTTTGGTAATAGAAGCAGAGTGGGAAACAGGCTCTGATGCCAATTGATGCAGAACGGGAGAAGAGAAGGGAAAGATAATATAGAAAAGAGATAAAAGGATCAGTAGAGAGAATAGAGAGAAGAAAAAAACTTAGAGGAAAGGCAAGAAAATAATAATTCTTATTTAATTAAATGTGCGTACAAATTAAATGAGCTAAGGCACTATTTATGGGCCTCAACCTTAACCCTAGAATTAAATGTGATAAATTCTTGAAATCCTAAAATTAAATAAAAAGATATTACAATAATTAAAACAAAATATTTCAATTAATAAAATACCCTAATAAAGTATATTCAATCTTCCAACATTCTTAAATCTTTAATATCTTTAATTAATTCTTTTTCTTTTTCTTCCTATTATATTTAATCCAAAACAACTTAGAGAAATTAAAAATAAAATACCTTTACTTTTATCTTTCCCAACACTGCATTAAACATTCCAAGATATCCCAAGAATAATGAATATATAAATATCAATTTGGCCCCTGAATTACCAACTCAAATATCTCCCAAAAACCCTCTAAATTTTATTTTAACTTTCATTGTAAAAAACACATGCTTTCCGTGATTGTTTAATCAATGATTACATACCTATTATATATATTTTGCCACTTTAAATCCAAAATCCTCCTTTTTCAAAAATTTATCAAACACCCTTTCTAAAGGTTTTCTTATATAATCATAACTAATTACTCAATTAAAATGCAATCTACTCTTAAGCCTTTTGCCAAAATCTAACACATTACTATAACTTATAAATTATTAACCATATAACTCTTGAGAATCTAAAATTCAAATAAGTTTCCAACAGCTTTTTGAATAAATTCCTTCATAATACATACAGAGTTTGAATTCACCATTAGGCAATGCCTAAGCCTGATCACAATTCTTGTGAAATTAACAACATTGTAGATACATGATCATTCAAGCAAAACACATCTTCATCAATTTCATTAGTAGATTAAGATTTCTAAATTCCTTTACTCTCTTAAAACACCCAACAACATAATGTGAGAGAAATTCCATCCCCTCACTCCCAATATCACAGCATCCCAATAACAATAATAGAGCCACATAATCAAACACATAGGAATGCCATAAACAGAAGAGAATTTTGAATCCTCACCTCAAACCAACCATGATGAAGTAAGAGGAAAATTTTGAAGCTCCCCCAAACCAAAACAATGTTGTGAGCAAGGAAGAGGAAAGAACACACCACCACCTAAACAATGCCAACGGAGAAGGATGAAGAGAAGGAACTAATAATGAAGTAGAAATAGGGAGGAAGATGGACCGTACCTTAACCAAACTCCTTGTGATGGTGAAATTTTAGCAACTCAACTCCCATGCCAAGTGGTGGCCAATTGAGAACGAAGAAGGAAGGAGAAGACAAACATAGCAGAAGGTTCTCGATTCAAAGCTTCACTCTGTGGTCTCTAAAGAGTTCAATAGATCGAAGAAGACCAAAGAAGAGAGTGAAAAATCTAATTAGGGCGGAGGACATAATTGTAAGTTCATGAGGTAGAAACAAAAGTAAAACTCCTCTTTTAAGCCACTAGAATTCAAACACAAGATTAAAGACCTGGCAGATGATAAGTTGGCTTAAACTACAAAAAATATTGTTTAGAGACGCACAATAATCCATCTCTAACTAGTGATAAATCTGTCTCTAAATAAGTAAAGATAGATTTAGAGATTAATATAATAGTATCTCAAAAAGAGGCATCATAAATACTTCAAGACGGATTTTTTAAGCTATCACTAATTAGAAATGGATTTATTCTATCTCTAGATAAAAAATACCGTCTCTAGTTTTCATAAAAAATCTATTCCTATAAAATGCTCTAAAAATTATATACAATAATAAAGATAAAATAAAACAATCTCTAAACCCTTCTCTAGAAAAATGAAAACTAAATTTATTAGGTCTCTCAGTGCCACATCACTTGACACCTCACTAACCACTTGCGCATCTGCACGTGTCAACTCACAGGAGAGGGGTCTCTCCATTTTTTCCCCTCCATTTCCCTCCATTTCTCCAATCCCCACCATTTAAATTATTTTATTAAATAATTTTTTTAAATGATAAAATTAATGAATGATGGAGATGGGGGAATGGAGGAAAATGAAGGGAAAAAAATGGAGAGACTCCAAATCCGTCAACTCACCTACCCATGTGTGGGTCAACTAATACCACATCACGCCGCATGTTGCCACCTCATGACATATCAACCGCCACTACTTGCCAAATCACATATTTGTTACAAAATATGCCAAAGTCAATATTTGATCCCTTAACCTCCCACTTTCTAAGTCTTAAATCCTCATTCTTTGTCAGTTGAATTAAAATATACCTATAATTATTATGTGTGAAATTAAGTATATGTTACTTAAATACGTACACATATATAAAATATTATATTATTAAAAAGATATACATATATTTTATTTTATTTTCAATTATTAATATGATAAAATTATTCATATGACTATTTATATTACATTTTTAATAAAAAATTTTTTTTAGGAAAATGAACTTAAAATAAACAAGTTTGTAATATAAAAATATTATTTTTTAAATGGAAATAATTAATTATATAATTTATTTAAAAATATGTATTATTTTAGTTTATATTAAATATTTTTTTACTTTTATCTTCTCGATATTATTCTCAAAAATTAATAAATAAATAGTTAAAATTTTATGTTCTCCTAAAATAGTTAAATGTTTCCCATTATTTTTTTATAAATAAATTTAATCTACAATTTTTTAAAATTATTTTAATAAAAAATAATTATCACTGTACAATTTTTGTTAATTGTCATTTTGAACAATTTTTTAATTTTTTAATAAATACTAATAACTTTTAAAATACAAAATATTTAACTTAAATGTTTAATTTAAATATATTTACATGAATTTTTGAATTTAAAATTTTTTTAAACAAAATTATATTTTATCAAATTTATTTAGTATGGAACAAATTTAAAATTTAAAATCTTAGAAATATGTCGTGTGTGCGTGTATATTAGTACATAATTCTATTTATCATAAATTAAATATTATTTTATTTATATAATTTTAAATTACTCCCTTCATTCAAAAATATAAGGCATTTTTTGAAAAGTTGAATGTTCAAAAATATAAGACATTTTTAATCTTTTGAGATGTAATCATTCCCTTTTTTCTAAAGTGCTCCTATTAATAATGAATTTATATTTATTGTAGGGTATTTAATAAAAATAAATATGAAAAGATAAAGTTAGCTAAAAAGTAAGTAACTACTTTATTGGAGGATAAAATTTGATTAAAAATATCTTATATTTTTTAATGGAAGAAATATACTATATATTAATAAAATAAAATATTTTCTGATATACTTCAAAATTTGTTTTTCTTTTCTACTTTCTACGCTAAAAATGAACATTATTCACTTTCACATACATATAATTAGCATAAAAATGATATTTTGCATTAAAATAATTAATCCTAGTCATATAAATATTATTTATAGTTATTTCAAATGTATTTTTATTAATTCTTTTTTATATTCAATTTCATAGATGTTTTGGAGTTTAGATTTTTTTGTCCTCATTTTAACGTGTTATTATAAAATATTATCAGTGATTTCTTTCAAGGCAGTTTTGTTATTTGGTAAAAATTTATTAAAAATTAAAAAAGCACTAAAGTAAAATATAAATAATACAAAAGAGATAAACATTCAATCAATTATCGTTATAAAGTAAATTAATAAATACTAAACAAGAATTTATAAAATGAGAATGATTAAACTTAGAAAAAGAGGAAAAGAAGAAGAGAAAAATCTAAATGATATGCAAAATATTTTCAAACACTCAAAAAATTCTAAAGATAAATGTTTTTGAACACAAACATCTAATTTTTGTCATTTGCATTGAATGAGAAGCTCGCTAAACAATGATGAAATTTTTTCTACATCTTTAAAATTAATTTTTATTTTAATATATTTGAAATATGTATTAAAACAATTGATGATAATCCAAAAAATTAAAAATTAACAATATAACTTCATTTTTAAATTTTTCTCTACTTTGAATTAGAGATACGTTGAGAAATTAAAATAATTCTATCTCTAATATAATTATTTCAGTCATCTCTATTTTTTTTTTAAATTACTAAAAATAAAATTTTGAAATTTTGAAGAAAGATAGAGAGGGAATTAGAGATGGTTAAATTTTTGTCTCTAAATAAATGTCACAAATTCAGTCTCTAAATTTTTAAAAAAATGTAAAATTAATATTAGAAACAGATTTGGAGATGGCTATTTTTGACATTTAAAAAAAAAATAGGGGCATTTTTTTGGATTGGAGGTGATTTGAAAATAAATCAAATAACCTTCAATCCAAATAAAATGCCCCTATTTTTTTATAATTACGTACTTTTTAATATATCTTATAATATAAACCATCCCAAATATATATAATATCAACTCAAGTCAATTCTTTAAGCAATTACTTAATTAAAAGCTCAATAGCATTGCATCATGCCGGACATGTTGAGGCTAAGAATATACTTGTCGACAAAATCAGAACCCAACATAAGTAGCTCTAACACAAATGAACAGAGACATGTGCTGCAGATTTGGACAAAACACAGCAACATTGGCCCCATGAGCCGTCAGTAACTTGGCTGAAGATTCATAACAGCTTTTTCAAATATGTGATTTGCCAAAGAGATTTCCCCTCATGATGAGAAAATATCATTTCTTATTATAATAGATTACATCAACAATGCATATTTGGATTCCCTGATTCTCCTAGGAAAGTTAAAATGCATTTTGCAGAAGAGAGAAAGAAGAAAAATAAGCGTATATGGGTACCAGGAAAACTAAGAAAACTCACTCAATTCTTTTCATTAGTGCCTCTATTGGTGGGCCAAAAGTTACTAAGCATTCTTTTGGGTTGATTTGGAAGACCATGAAGAGCCTTGAGCTTAGTGTTTCTCTCAATTCCATTGGGGGTAACACCATGTTCATCCAAGTCATTATCGTCAGCAAGCTTCATCCTGAGAGTTAGTAACACAACGCACATTATCCTATAGGCAATTTACTGACATCTACTCGATCTCTTAGCAACCAAATGAACTCTTACATCATCAAAGCCTTGAGCTTAGTATGTCCAAGGACAAGTTGGAGAGTATGTTACTTCAACTTAATTACAACCTCTCTATTTTAGGAACAGATTTTTAAACAAATAATAGTTATTAATATATAAAAGATGTGCAGATGAAATTCATTATCAATATATTTGTTGGCATGTTCTGTAGACATAGTGGAGCATACACACAACAATAATTACAGCTTAGCATACGCGATAGTGAAGGCAATGCTTATAAGAACCAATCTCAAATTTATTTTATTTGTTCCTAATTAAACATCATTAATAATTATTGATATATCTGAAAGTTCAAATAACTTGTGTAAGCAGCAGGTCATACAGCACCAGAGTACAAACCTATGGATTGCTATGCAATGTTTACTAGGTGGACCGCTCGTTTACCTCTAATCATTCAAGCATAATTTTAATGATCCCCACCTTAACCTATCTATCTACTAAAAGAAGGTGGTACTTTGCATTATTTTGTTTTCTAGTTTCGAAGAAGGGTATCAAATATGAGCTTCAAACTACGAGTATTACAAGTTTGAAAATGAATTGCCTTGCTCATTGTTTGCTTGTTTTATATTTTAGAGAATTTTGCTCAAGGATTTAGTGCAAAACCTCTTATAGTAGATTTTAATACATACTCTATATCTTATAATCATATGTTGTCAAGTACATGCAGCTCCAATACAATTAACAGTCAGCGCACAGATATAGAACTTCCAGCCACAGTAGATAATAGTCAAACAAAGTGGGTAAAAACTATGTTTTTTATCATGTAACATGCTTTCTTTCATGCTGTCTCTAGAGGCCAAGTCAGCCCATCAAATAAATTCACATTTTCAGAAGAGAATAGTTTAAAACCCCTATTACTATCAATTGGCTACAATGTTTTAGCCCAGATACTTAGCAAGAACTTAGAGAAGAACCCAAGACAGCTCTTTTAGTTGATTGAAAGTTGAAAAAAAATGAAGTGCAAATTTGACATCACCAATTTTTATGTCTGACTCCAATTGAAACGAAAGTACACTGAAAAAGGAGCATTTAAAGTATTTCACTGTAAATCAAAACTATGCAAGGAATGATAACCAAGATCTCAAACTGCAAATCCAAAAGTCATTTTATTATGATGCTCAAGTATTATTGATAGACTTTAAAAGAAGATTAAAATAACAAGCAACACCTCTAATCTATTTGAGTCATCTGTAAGAGTGATATTGGCTTCCACTTTTGCAGCAACTAAGCCAAGCAAGAAAGTTCCAACGCCAAGCTACGTGAAACCAATCAAATGAATAACAGATGAATATAGGCCAATCCTTGAAATAAAATCATAACAAAGTAACAAAATCATATAACTGAGGGTTCACGATATTTGGAATCTTGAACATATGTGCGGCTAGAAGATTGGGGGAACACATTGAGTGTGAGAAAAAAGGAGGAAAACGAACCATTTCGAATAGCGGAGACTTGTTTGAATATTGAATCCTCAACTTTGCTATCGAATGAAAGGCCGAAGACTTGTTCGAGTATAATCTTGTGATCATCAATCATATGGCCCCGAATCTGGAGCGGCCAACACGATCTGGAGCAGGAGACGACAAAATAACACGATCTAAAGTAGAGAAACCCAACGATGGCAAAGCAGGGACACTGAAGAGAAGAGGATGAGAAGAGTCAAAATGTTTAGGTTTAGAGATGGAAGAGATGGGGACTCTAAAGATTTGAGGGTTTGAAATTTAAAATCCGATTATAAAAATAATCAATTTAAATATATTAAAAAATAATTTTTTTAAAATTTAAAACATATCTAAACCAGTTATAAAATATAACCAGTTTAATTATATTATAAAATAATTTTTTTAAATTAAAATACATGTCTAAAGCGATTATAATTTATAATCATTTTAGATGTTTTTTTAAAATAAAAAATATTTTAAAATATAATAAATATTTAAACTAGTTTAGATATTAATTTCTAAACCAGTTATTAAGAGAACCAGTTTAGATATCATCTTAACTATTCATTTATTTATAATAATGCTACCATCATTTATATCTAAACCGTATGCACTTGAATCGGTTTAAATAAGAAATGTAAAAAGCATATTTTGTTATAGTGTGTCTCTAACATTTTAATTTTTTAAAAATTAAATTTTTAATGAATAATGACAGAATTCAAAATGAATTTTGTCACACTTTTTTTTAAACGTATATAAGTTATCTCTAAATATATCTCAATATTTAAAATATTTTTTAAATTAAATTCGTCTCTAAAAATATAATTTGTCTTTATTTTCATCTCTAATTTAATTAAATCCATTAGACCAACTCTCCTTCTTTGTACATTTGTATCATAAATAAATAAATATATATATATATATATATATTAAAAGACATTACCATCAATTTTAATTTTAACTAAATTCTTGGTCATTATAGACTAATAGAACGACAAGAACAGGGGACGTTTGAATAGCAATGTGCAACCTTTGAATGGAAAAACATCGTGCTGCAGTAGGGATCTTCAGGAGTTACTGTGAAAGCATTTGAAATGAGAAGAAAAATCAAAGGGAAGACTTCATGGAATTCACGAGATCGACAGATTGGTGACAACTTGTGGTAGATCTGGTTCATGTAGCAATAGAAGGCTAGATGGCAGACACAAAAAGTAGATTCTAGGAGTGGCGGCAATACAAGATGACCAAAAGATAGGTTTACATAGCTTCAATGTCATAAATAGCTAGAAAGGAAAGTGTATAACTCAAACTTGTCGAGTGAGAAGAACTAAAGTGAACTCTAAAGGAAAGTTTTAATGGACCTTTTAAAATCCTTTCACATTGAAGAACTCTGAAAGGAACATGATTACACAGAGCTTCCTGCGGAAGCGTTCCAAAAGGCCGAAATGCTTTATTAGGAAGTGCTCTAAAAGGTATTTCATTTAAAAAAATTTAAAAAAATTATATAACAAAGGCCTTCCAAAATGCTTTTATCTAAAAGTGCTTCGAATTGCAAAATTCTTCAAGGAATATAATTTTTTAATTATTTTTATAGACATCTTCCAGAGCGCTTTTCATGAGAAGCACTCCAAAGGGTAAGCATACAGTAATGTTTTTTCCCTTAGTTGCTCCTGTAAGGTCACTTGTAAATTTTTGTTTTTTCCTAACTATTATTAATCAACTGGCGCATGAATCCTAAAAACGGACAAATTACCTACTTCATCATTTTCCCTTCTGTTGGGCCGTTCATGGGCCAAGAAAATTCATTTATATTTATATTCCCATGTATGATTGGGGTTGTTGGGCTAATCTAGTAATGAGCCAATAAACCAGCCCAATAATGATCCAACACATGAACAAAACCGGGCATGAATAACAATTCAAATGGGAAATGAAATGCTTTCAATTCCGGCAGTATCATTTGTAATTTTTTTGCCTAATTTTATATATTATCTACTTATTTTTAATTTATATAATATGTATGCTAATTAATATTGGCTATGTGATTATATTCAAATCAATTTTATTATTCATTTCTGAAGCACATAGAATTATAAGAAACAAAAAAAATCTCCAAAACACATAATTATAAAAAATCCTTTTTGTATCTTTCTAAGCTGTAGTCTACATATATATATATATATATATATATATTAATAGATAGATACACTCGTAAAGAATGAGATCCAGATTAGTAGAATATTATAAGTAGGAAAACAAATAAGATATATACTATTATTAAAATCCGATGTTGACAATGGAATTAAGTTTATTAAATTTTCACATTACGTGTAAAATATTTATCCTGATTTCCAAACCAAAAAAATATATATCTAAAATAATAAAACATGTTAAAATATATATTTTGATATATCTATAAAAATTAAAATACATTTTAAAGTCTTAAAAATGGTTATAAAAAATGATGACAACCAAAACAAATGTCCCTTTTTTTATGCGTTATATGTGTATCGCCAAGAAGACTCTTCTATGACATAGACCTCCATACACAACAAGTCCATAGAAATAAGTTAGAACAATTTCAGATGATAATATGTCCAAAAATTAAGGTGGTCACAACTTGGACAACTACAATGAAAACAAATTTATCAACTTGTTCATGGTGAACAACAAATACCAAGCGTGCCAGAAACGTTAGGTCTCAATTGATAACAAAGGATTCCGAGCTCCTTTACCACAGTTTACTCGGATGTAAAAAGATACAAGGTTTTGGTAGAACAAGTGTTTGATTTTATTGAAATATGAAAAAGGTTACATATCTAAACTGAAAGATCTAACTGATAAACTTAAAAGGCTAAAAAGTGTAAAATTGTGAGTCTTTGATTGAGTGTTAACTAGTTTCTTCGGTGTCTTCTTCTCCTATTTATAGTGTCAAAGTAGCGGTAGCCTCTTCCTTAAGACCTAGCACGTTTTGTCGAAAATCAGGGATCTCGCAAAACTCATGGCACGGTCTTTATTCCATACCCTCTATTTTGATAATAAGCCCATTTCACCGAGATATTGGGCATGAGGTCTGTAGATTTCGGCATTGCTTAAGATCGTATCTTTCGCACCAAAAGTCTAATATTTATAACTGACGGGATTTCAGCACATTTACTTATTGTAGCCTAAATTTATTGAGCATCGGGGCCGGCCCTTTTTGTTTATATTGGGCTTGATGCTTCAATTACTCAACTCAACTAGCCATGTGACCTACCTTGAGCAATGTTTCATATTTTAGCCTAAACAATGCCCCCTGCGTGCCAATGGCTGATAATGTAAGCCACGTGGCACGTTTGAAAAAACTAAAATGTTGCTTCATTTCTGAGCGCCCTTTGTTAATATAAACTTATTTCTTTTTTTTTGGTCACTTCTCTTGCCCTTTCTGCCGTTTCTTGAACTTCAAGCATTGCTCTTCTATATCCCTCTTACCTTAGCTCTCAAATGGCTTCTTCCACCTCTACTGCTTCTTTTATTGTCGCTTCATCTTCCACATCCGTTGGAAGTCTTCCTGATTCTTTGGTGACTATCTGAAATCCCATTACCCCACTTGGCGGGTTTGTGACGATACGTACTCAATGGTTTGAAAACCTTTATTTCCCCTAGATTGGATCCTCATTCTAATAGTCGTTCATTTTCTTTACAAGAGGATTCTTCATTCCAAAAATCTGTGGCTTTCTAGTAAGTTTCTTGCTTCTCCTGTTTAGCCCTTCTGTTTTATTGGAGAAGTATGCTAACTGTTCTTTGTTTTTCTCCAATACTTCTCCTTGGAGTTTTCAAATTTCCAATAAAATCAACGTCGGGTACTTGACCATCTCTCTCGACCTATCCGAAGTCACAGCCCCTACTCAACTAAATCCCTGGCCAACAACCTCTATACACAACTTGATCTTAGCCTGGATGACCTCATTCTTCCTCGAGTCATCCTGCAAAAAACTCAGGAACTGACCCTGGTTTCCTCGTGCATGGATCAACTGGGTGAGGCACTTGAAGCAGGAGTATGCACGTCAATGGAAGGAGATAAGTCTTTATGACTTGATTCAATTATCCCTAGCCGATGTCGATATCTCGGTCAAGCTTCTGACGGCCTTTTTAAGTTTTTGGGCTTCGAGCTACAATGCCTTCATATTTGAGCTCAGCCCTATGTCCCTCATGCTATGGGATGTTTTCATGTTTCTAGGGCTGCCCATCACCGGGGAAGAGAACTTCTACGCAATCCCTGAGAAGCATGACCCATACATCGTAGTTGACTTGGAAAGCAAGATTAGGAGTACGGGCTCCTATATAAAGATCATAGAGCTCTTCTCCGAGAAGCCAGTCACCAAGCCTGTCACTGCCACGGAGCATCTGGTCTTCATATGGATCTTACTAAGCTAATGGATCCTGGCCTTAGGGGGAGGGAAGCTCGTGCAGCTGCACTTGAGAATTGCCCAATCCTTGCTCTACAACAATCAGATAACCTTGGGGATGATATTTCTATGCCACCTCTATGATGGCATAAGGGAGTCGCTGACAAAGAAACCCTTTAGAAACTTCCATGGGCCTATCTGGTTTCTTAAGTTATAGACAACGGCTTACTTTCCTCTTCTTTGACAGGAGCCTTTTCTTGATGATTCCCACACCAACCCCCCATCACCTATCTCTTAGGTGGTCATTCGCTGACCGCCTCAAAGAACACAAAAAATATTTCCTGAAAAAACATAGAAAAACCTTTAGAAAAGATAATTTTAAAAAAGATAAAATAGAAATAGTTTATTATAAATGTGAAAGATTTCACCATTTTTATAATTTTTTTAAAAAAATTATGTCGTAAGTTTCAACGGCAACATACAAGTCGCCGCTGAAAGTCGAGAATCAGTGGCTACTTTTTATTGTTGCCGCTGATTGTCAATTTTTTTATAATTTTTTTAAAAAAATTATGTTGTAAATTTCAGCGGCGACATACATGTCGCTACTGAAAGTCAAGAATCAGCGGTGACTTTTTAGTGTCACCGTTGATTGTCAGCATGTTTTAATTTTTTTAAAAAATTATGTTGTAAGTTTCAGCGGTGACATTAAAAAGTCGTCGCTGAAAGTCAAGAATCAACGGCGACTTTTTATTGTCGCCACTATTTGTTTGCATTTTTATAATTTTTTTACTAATGTATAATCATCAGTATTTTTACTATTTATTCTTAGAATTTTTTATATTATAATTATAAATATAAATATTAAAAT